GCAACGTTTAGCGCCTGAGGCCCAAAAAGTACCGTGGATATATGCATATTTATTTATAAACAATTAATATTATGGACATTGTTGTTGCTGGAGGAGCACGGGCCGTGCATAAATTAAAGCGGCCCAATTGTTATGCAAAATCGTCACCGGGGAGAGTTCAGTAGATAAAGTCAGTCGATCCGGAATCGTAAATTGTCTGTGCCTTTTTCATCGACTAATTCGCAGTTTTTTGGGTTAAGGTGTGCTCTTGACTTGCTTGAGTGGAAAAAGATTCAGATAAAATTGCGATTTAAGTCCAATAAGGAGGATACAATTGGTCTTGTTCTACATATATTTAGCATAGCTTAAAACTCAAAAGACATTCAGCAAATTAAAGCCTGAGTTGGTCATTTGGTTATTGGTTATTTTTTAAATTGACCCAAAATTAATTTTTTTGTTTTACAGTCCAGAGGGTATTATTATTTTGGTCAAGAGCACCTTTCCACTGCTTCCAGCCCTGTGAAGTCTTTGGCCGGAAGAGATCTCTGTGCTGATTCTGCCGTAGGGCATATCTTTGCAAATCCTATTATACCCATTACTTGTAGATTAAAAGGGTATGCTAGAACTATCGGGAAGTATGTAACAGGTAGAAAGAAGCGTTTCGCTATAAAGTATATATATTCTTGATCAGGATCACTAGCCGAGTCGAACTAGCCATGTCCGTCAACGCTGAGACATCGGAAACTATTAGATCTATAATGTTGGGAACAAGCATGCAGATTCTAGGACTTCCAGCTCGGCGTAAGTTTGTTTGCAACGTCCACTGTAACGCCCATAACTCTGAAACCTATCTAGCGCCCAAATTATTGAAGATCGGAAAAATACCTCCTATCTAGGAGTAATCGGGAAAAATGATGAAAACAACAATTTTACAAGTTATAGCTTCGGTTTATTCTCATAAATTTATATTTCTAAATACTAGAAAAGTCGCCCTAAAATTGAGAAAATTGTTTTTCTTATTTTAAGGAAGTCCTGAATATGGGAAAAATAACGTAGAAAATGTTTTTAGGGTTTTTAGACATTTAAAAATGTTCTATAAATAAGTGCAAATTTTTTCGATCGGATAGTATCAATTCCGCCTTAGTCTTAGGGCAAAATTGCTATATTTCGTTGAACAAAAAGTCATCTAAAATCGTCCATAAAACTAGAAAATGAGTGGGCTATTGCACTCCCACATTCATCTGAGTGAGCCCACGAAGAGAAAACGTTTATTTTTTTTTTGTGGAAGTTTCTTAAATTCAATCTTTGAACCATTTTGTGTGCAAAAGCAAAAGTCAAATTGTGGTACACGTTAAAATAATAATTTAAAAATATGTTATTATAAATTTAAACATCCTAATTCGTTGTCTTCAGAGAAGACAACGTGTTTAAGCGTCGCCAGAGCGATATGGTGCAGCGGTATGGCCCTTGACTGTGAACCGGGCGCCAGGTGGGTTCGATTCTTGCAGCGACCAAGGAGGAGATTTTGTTCAAAAAGTAAGTTGTTTGACATGTGTATTTATCACTGTGAACGGCAGTTCACGTAGTGACGAAGCGCACCAGGAGAGTGTGCGAAGGCGACTACTATATACATATAGCCGCAGAATTGAAAATCTGCTGTGTCTGATCGTAACGAATGATGCACCAATCGAAAGGTATCGCAAAAACTAAGAATATTCCCTACCAAGTCTTTAGATATCTTAATTTCTTTCAAAGAAAGGCCTTTTAATCAAAATACGCGTCGAATGACACTACATATGTTAATTTTAATTTTAAAACTTTTCAAAATGAAAATGATTGTCCCTTTGTTTGTGGGCTTGTGTGAATCCCTTTTTGGTTTTAGGGTCTTGTGGACTTTACATGTGTATTAAGAATCTCGAGATAGAAAAATTTTGTTCTACGACCTTTGAAAAAAGCCACTAGCCTGGCGGGAAATCCAAAAAAATAGCTATAAGGCCTATTGTTTCTTAACAACTATATGTCGCTAAAAAGGTAATATAATTGCCAGTCACGCTACCTTTGGCTACATTTTCTTAATACAACAGATTTAAAGTTACAGCTAAAAGTTTTTATATTTAACGTCGCTATTGGCTATTGGCTATACTCTCAAAACTGGTTCGAACTATATTGCCCTTGAAATTCCTCAATTTTTGATATGTAACACCTTTTTTCATAAAAATTACCGTTTGGGAGATATTGAGCGATAAGGTGTGCATTCCTTTTCAGTTCAGTATGAAGAACATTTTTGCTTACCTTAAACGCCCAAAACTATGCAACATTAATTTGATGAAAAAAATTAATTATTAGATACTTTTTAAGTAAAAGGAACACATTTAGAAGTTTTTCACCGAAAATAAAAGACTACAATATATTAATTATTAAAACAAAAAAAAATAGGGAGTTGAATTTCCGATGTCTAACACATACTTTATTTAAGTTCCTAGAAAACAGTTTCTATACTTAAGTATAGTACGGCATAAGGTAACCAAGTCGACTTGGCCTTGCCAACGGAAATATATACATATATTGATTTTAATGCTATTACAATAGGTCATACGAGTATGAGTATTACAGCAAAAGTTAATAAAAATTCAATTTTTTTGGTGTATAAAAGAAAAACTTCTGATATCACGATCTCACCTTCAAGATAGAAAAGTTCTGATATACAATTACATATGTGACGAAAAATTATTCTAAGTAAATACACTTTCTAAAAAGTTTTCATTCTTCACGCTACCATAGGATATACCTTTGTATGCAAGAAGCTTAATTATTTTGATAAAAGGGGCAGAATTAAAACATTTTTGAAAGTGAAAAGGGAAAACGGTATAGTCGACGGCCTCGACTATAGGATAACCGTTACTCAGCTAACCAAAAAGTGTCAAACAAAATCTTATTTCCATTTTTACAATATACTAAACGATGTGGGCGCTAGACGGGCTTTAGCGTTATTGGCGAATGTGGGCGTAAGAGTGGGCGTGGCACCCTGCTGAAAACATGCGCTGCGCAGGAAGCCCAAGAATATACATACATGCGAAGTCCCAACATTGTAGCTTTTATAGTTTCCGAGATCTCAGCGTTCATACAGACGGACATGGCTAAATCGACTTGGCTAAAGATCCTGATCAAGATTATATATACATAAGGTCGAATTGAGTATACCCTTTTATTCTACTAGTAACGGGTATACAAATTTGAAAACTGGTTAGAGCTATTTGAAAATGCAGCAAGAACCATTTACGGTCGTTCTCAATTGGTCCTCAATTGCTGAAATTTTCTGTTGAATTTTTTACAATTCAGTTATTTAACAGTTTATGGAAAGGATCATACATCCCATCCCTGGATAAGACCAGGTTGTGATCCAGAAGAGAAGAGGAAGTATTCATTCAAGAGCGTGATGGTTACGTTTTTCTTCGTGACTCTCTCTTATACGGCTAAATCTCCAGCAATCCAGCGACTTTCCTATAAAGTTGCAAAAACATCGTTTGAGGAGAAAACATCGATACTATAAACCAATATAATAGGGTAAATATGAAAATTATTATGCATCAATAATTACAATTATAAACGCAATAAGTCTACTTATTGTAGAGAATCGACCTACGGGTGGACATCGACATCGACTTTAATTTATATTTCATTTTTCAACACGTAAAATGTGCGTACCTTCGTTCTCCTTCGAAATCCAAGTGATGGGAGCTGTATGTAATATTAGTCCTAGTAACATCGATGGGGGTCACCGGGAGGCAACCATCGATATTATCGCTTGTCTTCCAGCTCTACTTCCTAGCAAAGCTACTGAAAGAAGAAGTGAAGAAGTGACTTGCACAAATTTATAAAACAGCCCAGTTTGCTGAAAATAGCTAGCTTCGTGTGGAAATTTTAGTCTTGTTTTTGGCACACATTCCAAAAAACTAGCTTCTAGACGTACTAAAGTACTAAAAAAATGGCTGAGCAAAACATCGAGAGCCCCGTCTTCGAGAAGGTTCCAGTCAAGGAGGAGGGACCTGAGAACCCAACCGCCGCCAAGGAAAACGGAGCACCGGCCGCCGACAGCGGGGCACTCTCCGGTGCCGTCGATGGTGAAAAGGCGACCGCCGAGGCCGCTGACATGGAGGAGGAGTCCGCCGCCGATGGCGAGGAGGCCAAGAAGAAGAGCATCGAAGCAGCTCCAGCTGCTGTTGAGAGCGGCGAGGAGGTCGCCATCGGTGACTCACCAGATGCTCCTGCCGTCGGGCCCGTGAAGCGGAAGGTGGACGATTCCGCCGCCAAAGACGATGAGACCGGTGCCACGCCGGAAAAAAAAAGTAAGCTGCATTAGGAATGCACAAAGGACGAGGTGCAGAACGGCGCCTAGAAAATAGCCCGCGGAGCAACACACTGTAATATACTTAATAATATATACTAATACAACAAACACTCGCAAATCACACAGTGACACGCACCGAACTGAACCAGTCACCCACCCACCTTACCAACGATCGATCCTGCAAAGGGGAGCGCAGTCTTGTAGCGCACCGATCTGTTCTTCTTCTTCAACAAACGAAAAACAACAACAATCCGTTGTCATTAAAAAAACCGTACTTAAAAACTAAATTTTAGTGCATATATCACTTTGGGCGGCAGTCCAGTTAGTGACGAAGCGCACCAAGAGGGTGTGGGAAGGCGACTACTATGTTTATATAGCCGAAGAATTGAAAATCTGCTGGGATACTAAGAAAATCCGCTCTCCAGGTTTGATTTTCGTTCGCCCTTAGGTTGTCTAGGTTTTTGTTTCACCATGGGATGTTATATTGACTCTTTGGGGGCTGGGATTGGAGAATGCTATTATAGGCGCTATTTAATATTATTTTGTTTATGTTGCTGGGTTCAGTGTTCGTGTTAGTTGATACTGGAATTTGTTTAAACTGTTGGTAAGACTTTTGAATTTGTCCCAGTTTGGTCATTTAGTTATAAATCTTTTTGAGTAGTATACTGTCTGTTTTTATTGGGAAATATAATATGTTCATGTCGAAAGTGTCCATGATTTTAAAATTGCAGTGAATTTTGAGGCTCAGTGAGCAAAAGGCAAGGTTTATGTGGGTCGTTGTTTAGTGTGATGCAGTTATTACTGTGAATGAATTCCCCGAAGATTTTACCCCCGCGATTGCGTTTGGAAGATCCCCAGAAAGTATTCCAGTCATAAGTCTTCTGTGATCAGTGTAGGTGTTGTTAGGTAGGGGAATGTGGTTTCTGTCTTGGTAAATTTTTGTAAAAGTGGTTTGTAGGCTAAAAAAATATATATAGGCCTCGAATGCGGAGACTCAGGCTCCTGTCTGTTGATCGAAGATTTTGCGGAATTTCTAAATGTCAAAGTCTTCCGAGGAAGGGCCGAGGAACTCTCTCTCCAGGTCTCTCTCCATCATGTCCCATTCGTCGTCGTCCTCGTCCTCCGGGTCTTTCTCGCTGTTCGGGTCGGAGCCAATCTCCAGGTCGGTAGGCAGATCTTCTCCTCGTCGAAACTTGGCTCTGGGCATCTCATCGTCATCATCCTCCTTCTCATTATTGTCATTAACCTCTGCGTTTAAGCCTATGTCAAATTCCATGACGTTCTGCGCTCCGATCATTACGTCCTCGCTGCGCGTCAACAAGTCATGGGCTCTATTGCTATTGCTATTATCTTCGCGCATTCTCTTAAGCACCTTCCTATCCATTGGTGGGTTTTCAAGGTTAACGGGTCCCTCGTCACTCGACGAGTCCGACTCGAAGAATGTGTCGTAGTCCTGGTTCATGGACTCGATGTCCGCGTTGGTGAGGCCCAGCAGTGGATTGAGCGTTTCGCGGAAGGTGTCGCTCTGCCCCTCCTGCTGCTTGCTGCTCGATGGTGAGATCTCTGGGCGCTCGCTGTAGTTGACCACGTGCTCGGGACTGCGCACCTTGCCACCTTGGTCCAATGGAAAGAGCTTCTCCTCCACATGCTCCCAGCGCTCGGCGCAGGTCCACAGCCAGTTTGCATTGACCACCTTGATGGCGGATTCTTTCTTGGCGGCATATACCTTGTAGGTGCCCGCATCGACCGCCACCAGATGCGTGATCCCCTTGCCAATGTTCGGCTGCACATCTGCGCCCAGACTTTTAGCAATGAAGTATGCCTGCGATTGCTCCAGCTTCATCTCCGTGGGCACCAGGCCGGAGAACACCAAGCTCTTGCCACGCAGCACTTCACAGCGAATCTTCGGAACGATGACCTTTAGATCGGTTATCTCCGTGGTCTCGTCGTAGATGGCATAGAATCGCTTGTGGATGCTGCGCAATATGCCCTCCAGATAAAGCAGGTAATCGTCGGTGTCTTCAATCTCTATCTGCTTCTGCCCTTCGAGCGGCACTCGAAGGCTGGGCTTTGACGTGGTGGCCACATCCTCATTGCTTGTCGGGGTTTTCTCTTCCACCACCTCGGCTTTTGTGACCTCCTTGGAACTATCATCAATAACAGCTTTCTCAGCATCTGGTGAGCCAGATGAACTATCGTCTACGACCACGATTTCCTCTGAGACAGTCTTGCCATTTAGTGTGTCACTCGGCGGCTTCTTGGGTGCCTCTGCGGCTATCGAGGAATTGGAAATCTCGGGATCCTTGGCGTCGCTCTCCAGTTCGAATACGTCGACTGATTCCTCATTCCCCTCATCATCCTTGCTTGTGCTTGAGACTATGTTGTCGCCCCTATCAGGATCTTCTGTTCTCAGTTCGCTGATAGACTCGGAAATCTTCTCGGTAATCTCTTGGAAATCAACGCCTTCGCCATCCAGTTCATGCTTGGACAAGCCCGGCGGGGCATTACTGTCACCCGTGTGCTGAAAGAAGTGATAGGGCTTGACCTGAATCAAGTTGTAGGCCATGTTCCACACATCCTCCCGATCGTCGATGATGCACACCATGGAATCGCCATTCGGAAAGAGAGTTTTCAAGTTGTCCGTCTTGCTGGTGGCATTGAAGCACTCATCTCTGGACAGAATCCTGGTCGAGAAGAACTTTCCCTCGGGGTCCAGGAGTTGGGCAATCTTGTGCGCGTACTTACGCTTCCCAAAGGTGCAGATGTGCAGCTCGTAGAGCTGGGACATGCGCTCCAGGAACTCGGCAGTGCCGGGGCGCAAGCGCGTGTGGTACCACTTGGAATGCGGGCCGCGCAGCTGGAAGTGGTAGATGCCCTTGATGTTGTCCGGCACCGTGTCGTCGGTGGTGTGGATCACCGTATGGTCGAGATCGACGAGCAGGACCAGCTTCCTGTCGGCCAGCAGGCGGCGGGTGTCGTCGTGTCCGAGCTTCTGGGCCAGATTCTGGCTGACCTTAAGATCGGGCATGGTGTGCACCTTGGGCACCGAGGCCTCCGACGTTTGTTCATTCTCGTTCTGACGCAAGTCGGCTTCGCAGTCCGCGCACATGTCCTTGGTTACCGTGGTGTGTATGCACTCGGACAACTCCAGAATGGTGTCCCCCTTGGAGAGCAGTTCCCCGTCCTTGCGGAGCCGCTTCCTCACCACCCCGGCGCGCTGGGACTTGTACTCCTGGATGGAGGAGTCGGTTCTTCCAGATCCTCCACCTGGATTCCCATCGTCGCCCACCGGCGTGTAGAGAAACAGGACTTGGGCCGCCGACACGAACTGTCCCTCGCGAACCTGCCATTTTTTGATTACCGCGCTCGTCTCGTTCACTCCCAGCACAGCTCTCAAAACAATGATGCCACTAGCGTTCTGGTTTGTGTTGTTGCCACCACCTCCACTTCCACTTCCTCCGCCTCCTTGGTCTCCGTCCTTGGTCACGCCCCTAGCCGCGCGACTGGGCGCCGCGCCCTCCTCGTCGATTATGTTCTGCATCGCTTGGCTTCAGTTTTTTAAACACTTAATTGGTTCAAATCTCCGTAATTAGTTGAGGTTGCAATTCGATTTATTTAGTCGAATTTATCCGTCACAAAGTCAGATGTCAAAACTTTTGTATGTTGAAGGTGCGATTGTCACGACCCCTTACCTCGTTAGGAGGTGTTTTCATTTGATATCAGAATTTTTTTATAAAATAGGAGCTATGTTCACTTTTGCTGTAATGCTCATATACATATGTATAAATTATATTAATATCACAAAAGTAAATATATACATTTCCGTTGGCAAGACCACGTCCACTTAGTTTCTAGGAGTTTAAATAAGACTGTCGGGCTTTTAACAATTAGCTTATTACAAAAAGTTTTAGTCCATGAAAAACTTGTAAATGTTATTCCTTTACTTAAAAATTATCTTTCAAGAACTTGTGCCATCAAATTAACGATGCATAGTGTTGAGCATTCAAGGTAAGCATGAAATGTTAATCGTTCAATAACTTCCAAACGGGAATTTGTATGGCAACAAGTGTTGTATATCAAAAGTTGGGGAATCTCAAGGGCTATATAGTTTGAAATTTAAAAAGAAATCGGTTGAACCAATTTTGAGGAAAAAGACCAAAAGTGGTTTAAAAAGACTTTTTGCTATAACTTTGAATCTATTGTATTTAGAGAGGACAGCGTGGTTAGCATATTGAATTACCCTTTCAGCGACATAAAGGACGTATGTATCTGTAGCATTAGTTGTCTAGAAACTGTAAACCTTTAGAATCTAGCTATTTTTACGATTTTCCGCTGGGTAAGCGGGTTTTTCGAAAAGTCCTACAACAAAGGTTTTCTATCTCGAGCTTCTTAATACTCCTTAAGACTTAAAGGGACAAACATTTTCATTTTGGAAAAGTCCCCTCTTGTTTTTGGAATAACTTTTGAACGGAAAACTGTATTTTAACAAACGCGTATTCTCAGTATACAACTTGGTTAACAACCTTGAACATTTATCCCTACCATCCCCAACAGCTCCCATTTTCTACATTTTCACTTTTACACTTTTACCGCTTTTTCTCCCAAGCCAATTGAAATTATTAAGGTCTTGGTAGGCAATCTTTTTAGTTTTTGCAATACCTTTCGATTGGAGTATCACCCGTTATGATGCGACCATCCCAGCATATGTTCAATTCTTCAACTATAAATCGTAGTCGCCTTTCCCCACTCTCCAGGTGCGCTTCGTCACTACGTGTACTGCCGTTCACAGTGATTTAATTCCTTGTCTGCAAGCATTCGATTCAGTTGGGGCCAAAAATGATATGCTGGGGCAAGCCCTTAAGGAATATTTTTAAAATAATTTTTAGAAATAAATTTAAGTTAAATAATTGTAACCAGAAAAGGATTTATCCATTGGGCTATTTGCGAAGGGCCATGTTACCAATCATTCAGTAAATTAGGGGATTCGGGCTGATTTTATCAGCCAGCACAGCCCAAGATGCTGATGCCCTGTTTGTCAGGATAATATTGTCAAATTATATTTTGGTACTGGACGTGGGTCATTGGCCTTCGATCATCAGGATTATATAGGATCCCTGGACTATTTCAAGAGTGTCCTGATGACCCAACCTCGAGGGCCTGCTGATGTTCGCTCTGGGATAGCAAATTGTTTTCACGGGATGGAAGATCTGAGCAGTGCCGTTGTTCCTTAAAGTTGGCTCTTAAGCACAGTAGTCGATGTCAAAATGCCCTACTTGGAATGACCATACTGAAACTGAATATTTAATTGATGGTCACCAACTTGTCGATGGCATGGCTAGATAATCCGTACGCTTCCACGACAATCGCATTGTTGCAATTAGATGGCCAGGAGTCACCATTAAACTAGGGAACACACTGTCCTGAACATCCAGTACCTTCGCCAGGATTTCGATAGCTGGTTGAGTCTGGCCACAAATGCCTTTCACGAGGTCAAAACGATCTACCTGGGTCAGGGACTTCAGGTGCCGATGAATATTTCTGAATTTGGCCAGTGCATATTGCAAAAAATTACATGGATATTTTGCAATTAGTCCGATACTTATTAAATTGAATTCTTAATTCTAAAAAATTAAAGAAATGCTATAACCGGAGTAGAAGAACTTATAATCAAAAACAAGGAAGAACGCTATAGTCGAGTACCTCGACTATCAGATACCCGTTACTCAGCTAAATGGAGATATGCAAGCAGCAAAGCGAGATTAAAATGCGCCACCTACCGGCGGTATACAGATTTAAGCGTTATGGGCGTTAGAGTGGGCGTGGCAAATTTTTTTTGGATCAATCGATAGGTATCGACGAGACCAATACATTTCAGTTACAATTTTTTATCTAGCATGAAAATTGTGGGCGTCACAGGTTTTTGCGGTTTGTGGGCGTTAAAGTGGGCGTGGCAAACTTTTTTTTGAGTCAATCGATAGGTAATGACGAGACGAATACATTTCAGTTAAAATTTTTTATCTAGCATGAAAATTGTGGGCGTCACAGGTTTTCGCGGTTTGTGGGCGTCAAAGTGGGCGTGGCAAACTTTTTTTTAGGTCAATCGATAGGTATTGATGAGAACATTACATTTCAGTTAAAATTTTTATTCTAGCATCAAAACTGTAGGAGCCACAGTTTTGGGCGGTTTGTGGGCGTTAGAGTGGGCGTGGCAGTCTACTGAAACAAACTTGCGCTGCGTAAGAAGCTCAGGAATCTGCACGCCAAATCTCAATAGCCTAGCTCTCATAGTTTCCGAGATCTCAGCGTTCATCCGGACAGACGGACAGACGGACAGACGGACATGGCTAGATCGACTCGGCTAGTGATCCTGATCAAGAATATATATACTTTATGGGGTCGGAAACGCTTCCTTCTGCCTGTTACATACTTTCCGACGAATCTAGTATACCCTTTTACTCTACGAGTAACGGGTATAATTACGAAGCTTTAACTATTTGCATGTTACTTTCCCATGTATTATCCGATCGTTAGTATGGCATCTATATAAAATAGTCGTCCGATTTTTTATAATTTAATTCTTAAAAAATTATATTTCAAAAGTACAATATAATATGTCATGAAAGACCAAAGATTTAAGTTGTGAAATTCATTTTTTCCGGTTATTCCTGTGGGAGCTATAAAAAATAGTTGTCCGATCCGACTTATATACCTGCAATAAAAAAAAGACTTCTGAGATGGTTTCATCCCTTAGCTTTACAACTGCGTTGCAAACTTCTGACTGAAATTATTATATCCTTCGCAATAGTATAATAATAGAAAAAAGAATTATAGCTTTTTTAAAAGTTTTCGAAACTCCGAATAGATTGTTTTTTCATCGAACGACTATAGCATATAGCTGCCATAGGTTTCTATAACCGGAAAAAAATTGAGAAAACAATATGAAACAAGTTACAGCTTCGTTGTTTTTGATCATATTCCCTTCTACTCAAAAGTATACTTTAACTTAACATTTTCTAAATATTTCTTATTCGGCACGCCGCAATCCAATATGCTCGTGTAGGCAATTAGCAGTACGATTTAAATTAACCGTGCCGAATGTGACAAATTTAGAAAGCGTATTTATGTAGTACATCGTATAATACATTTTCGCAAAAGTTAATATCAGAACTTTTGTATGTTGAAGGTGCAATCGTCACTAGTTTTTTACCCTCGTTAAGGGGTGTTTTTGTTTGATATCACAATTTTTTTTTAAAATCAATTTATTTCACAGTGTAAGTTCTTAAATGAATATACCTGAGAACCATTCGGATGAGAGGTATTTAGTATATCTGACTATTTGCCTACGCATTTTTAATACCATTGTAAATTGTTTTGTGAATTATTCCAATATTAGATGACTAATGACATGTTTAGGCCTCGCGAAATATGGCCAATTATCGAATAAATACTTGTATCTTTCGATTTTTCGCCCTAGTTCCTTTTCTCCCTACCTATATGAACTTGAAAGTGAAATCGGTGTAAGAAATATGACAAATTTAAATCAAATCTGTCTTTTAACCTTAAGTCGCTACAGTAAGACCCAAACGCGATCTAAGCCAGATAAACCTAAATGGTCTTTGTCTTATTTCGATGTGTTCTTTCAGCACATTAAGTCCAAAGAGTAGTACATTTGAAAACCAAACATATTTTCTCACTGATTTTTATTTCTATTTTAATTCAATACTGTCTTCCCTTGCACTAAAAAAGTTATTCTCTTCCACAAACCGGGGTTGCATAGTTTTTGGCGCATTCGAATAAACCTAAAGAGTTTTTTGCTCAATCAAGTGTCCAGTTTTAAAAAAATTTTGAAAAACCTGTAATCGAAACTTTAAATTAGCTATAATTTTGCAGTGACTTAAGTAAGAACAATTTAGACTTAGACTTAAAATGCCTTTAGCATAAGGCGTTTGCGAACAGTCACCCATTTCATTCATCTAGCCATTTCTTTCTATTTTCCTGCTAAGCTAGCGAATTTTTCAAAAAGTTCTGGAGAAAATTATTTTCAGCTCAATTGCATAATACGACAAAAAAATTCTAGGACAGTAACACAAAAAGGGCAAACCAATCTTAACTTGGATATGATCTAATATTAATTTAAGTTGCATAACTTTGCAATGGAGTCTTGTATTGCAATAGTTTTTCTACCCATCAACGTGTAAAAGAATATGAAAAAATTAAAAGACCGGTACATTTTGCTTCTCCGGTTTCCCTAGCTGAAATCTTCTAAATTTTACTTTCTTCCACCGAAATTTATCCAATAGACTTAGTCTTAGTACCGAACACAAAGGAAATTAATAATACCTTTCGATCTGTGTATTTCTCGTTATGATCGGACTATAATCGACGATTTTCAATCTCTAGAATCTGCATGTCTTATCCCAATTTACTATAGTTTCCAAGATATTAGGGTTCATACGGATGGACAGACAGACGGACAGTCGGATAGAAGGACATGGCTAGGTAAACTTGGCTAGTCATTCTGATCAAGAATATATATACTTTACTTATTACTTATAATTATACTTTACTTTACTTATAATTTGTTCCTTATTATTAACTTTATGCTGAAAA